AACTTACAGTACATTAACTTACAGCACGCTAGCCCACAGCACATTAACTCACAGCACACAAGCTCACAGCACATTAACTTACAACACACTTGCTCATAGCACGCTAGCTCACAGCACATTATTAACTTACAGCACACAAGCTCAAAGGACAGTAACTAACAGCACGCCAGAAGATTAGATATTACAACAAGAGAGTAACAAACACAAAAAAGAAGGAGGGTGGATAAAGACGATAGACGGTTTCATAGGAAAGAAAAAGCAAACTACACCAGAGCACCCGCCAACCACCCACTTACTACAAATCTATGGACATCTCACACACACACACACACACACACACACACACACACACACACACACACACACATAACTCTCAATCTGCCACACCTTTCCCACACAACCCTCACCCCGTACCACAGACATAATCTGTTGAAATTATTCACAGACAACTCGATAGCCATTTAAGGTCGGTACCAAACGTAGACACACACACAACGAACTGTGCACAAGTTCAATACTAGCTGCTCTTAGATTTTTTTGACTACTGTTGGCAGCTCAAATAAATGTCAGTAAAAAAGAGAAAAAAACACTACTACAAAACAAAACATCACTCTTACAAAAGCAAAAGTAATTATTATTATTATATTGGACCTGCAAATCCTACAACAAAAAAAAGAATTAATAAAAATGACGTATATGCATAACAAGAAGTTTTTAAAAAAATTAATAACACATGGAGAATGCCTAACAAGAAGTCAAATCCTTAACTAAAAAAAAAACCCAGACAAAATAATCAACATAACTGTCACACGACAAGAAATCAATTTTTAAAGCAAAGATCAAATAATTAACAAAACGGCAAAGTGGAAGGTTGGAAAATGAAAATATTGTGCACCGTGTCAAAAACACATTATTTGTGCCCTAAAAAAGTATGAAGCGAACGTTAGAGGAGAGGGGGGAGAAATTCTATACAATTTGAAACTGAAGATGCAAATCAAACAATCAAATTTCGCTAAACAAGGCCCACAGGCCAACAAAACAAAATTGTTATTGAACCGCACCGTTATCGCGTGCCACAAAAGCTTGCAAGTAAGATGATGTGTGTCAGGAGGAGGAAGAGGAGGAGGAGGAGGGGAGAGGGGGAGAGGGGGAGGAGGAGGAGGAGGAGAGAGGGAGAGGAGGGGGAGGAGGAGGAGGAGGAGGAGAGAGGGGGAGGGTTCCCTTCACTTTCTTACTTCCTTGACTTTCTCCTCATTCTAAGGGAAACGTTTTTCCTACACGTGCCGCAGATTTGTAAGGCGATGACGCTGCTGAGGGAAAACAACAACAACATCACGACCAGTGGGAAAAGTTTATTATATCAGCTCGGCAAACAAGAAAGGAAGTGGATATTTATACGGCAGGCTATCGAAAAATCAGAAGTGATAATTCCACGGCACATAAATTCAGCCAATCAGAACATCCGGTCTATTTATAATTAAGCCTATAATCTCTTTTCCATAATTAAGATACCCGTATGTTTAGTTAACAATGTTTATCCTTTGCTATCATTTTGTGTATTATGGACAATGATGAAATGTTTTGTGTGATTGTAACGAGAGATTGTATATGCAGAAATTTATTTTGTGCTAGCAAAATGGAGAGAAGACTTGTTTTGTTTTTTTCCAACTGTAGGGTGCCCATTTGCGGATGGGATCGGGTCGGGTCAGGTAGGGATGATCACCCGATTCGTCGCCTGGAAAACACACAATTCTTGCTTTGATACACTTCAAGCAGAGCCTATGCCGTCAAAATATCAATTCCGATCTTTCGACTCAAGACGGCATACCGTATAGGTATCACTTCCGATGTTCAGAGAGCATGCCGTGGAAATATCACCTACGATCTTCAGACAGCATGCCGTCGAAATATTGCTACCCAACAATAAAACATTGTTGGAATTACGAGAAGATCCTAACATAGTCATAAAGTAAAATCCTGTTAACCCCTCCAGGCCCATGCGTGTATATTTTCAGCAGCGCATGTACCTCCAACCGTCCCAAGAGCGTATATTCTCAGTTTCGGGGGGGGGGGTACCGAATTTGCGCAAATTTTCGAAATTGGTAAACATAATAAAACTTTAATTTTCATAGTATTTGTTCATTTACCTTTCAATATTGTTCTATGTTTTTATTTAAACCTCATAACAAAGTTACTACATCATTTTTTACAATGCATGCCTCCTTTTTCTGAAATACTGCTGTATTGGCTGTGACTGGGGTTAAGGAATGCACAAAAATGGCTAGGGCTGGAAGGGTTAAGGGCTGGAAGGGTTAAGAAAACTCGCAAACTTAGAAACCAACATGAATGTCCATCCAGTTCAGCGGAGGCCACAAAGGAATGTTACAAAACTACCGCAATGAACAACATCATGAGCTCACACCCAGTTCGGAAATACATGCAGTCACACTTGAGCTAACAGCCACCTGTCCAACACAATCACTTGAATCAAACAACCACTTCCCACCTCTTGTTTTAGTTTTAGTAAGAGTTTTACGGCACTTTACAACACAACAAAGTCATACTATAAGTGCCAAAGATTAGAGGTGTTACAAGAGAGTAACAAACACAAAAAAGAAGGAGGGGAGATAGAGACGACAGATGTTTGATAGGAAAGAAGGAGGGGAGATAGAGACGATAGATAGATGTTTGATAGGAAAGAAGGAGGGGAGATAGAGACGACAGATGTTTGATGGGAAAGAAGGAGGGGAGATAGAGACGATAGATAGATGTTTGATAGGAAAGAAGGAGGGGAGATAGAGACGACAGATGTTTGATGGGAAAGAAGGAGGGGAGATAGAGACGATAGATAGATGTTTGATGGGAAAGAAGGAGGGGAGATAGAGACGATAGATAGATGTTTGATAGGAAAGAAGGAGCAGCTTCCCCCTCTCGCCTTTTTACAACAATTTTACAACAACACTGTCAAAGCCACCCATGTGTCTATAAAACAACCACACATTTCTCCACGACAATGGATGGCCGTTTTGAACAATTTCGACCGTCCTCGATACGACGCCGATGCGCTGCTGACACTGCTCACTACTACTACTGACGTATAACACACTCAAGATGTCTGGCATCATTCTAAAACTAGCCATACGTAAAAAAAAGCAGTCAAGACGTCAAAAGATATTTGATTGGAACAACAAAAGAATACTTCGAGAAAACATAAAGGATGGCAAGATTTTTTTCTTTCGTAGCCTTACGATCTTTCCTCTCCAACAAGAAATCTAGAACAAGTCCTTACGTCGGCTGTCAACATCAATAATATGGCAACAATAATATATATATATATATGCAAAGCTTTCTAAACACATCTACTAAGTCCAAACACACGCTCATCCATGCACAGTAACACAGCAATATTTCACACCAACCGCAACAGAAAAATAAGTTTTCACACAAGCATAGTTGACATCTGCTTGCAATAACAACAATGCATGGCTATAAACAGCGGTCGACAAGCCCTGTCTGTACTTTGTTAGGTCAAGACTCGGAAACACACATTATATCAGTGTCGAGTGATTGGTCTGTACGGAAGTAAATTGGCCGCAAGCTAAAATAGATGACATCAATATTAAAATTTGCGTTTTGGAAATAAAATCAACTGACTTAATTTAGATCTAGCTTTGATTCCAAATCTGGAGGAGTTCCTCTGACATTAGTATTATCAAAATTAAAAGCTAAAACAAGCATCCTCAACTTTTCTGAGAGATATTTTTTGGATCTTGAAAGTCTTTCTGTCTGAAAGAGAATTTGTAAATTGTGAAATGGTATAGGTTTGTCACTCCTATCAAAACTATAAAAGGTCATTTAAGAGGCGGAACCTTCGAGTTTAACGTCCATCTCCGGAAGGACCGAGCCAAATGGGAAATTGGTGTAAAGTGCCTTTCCCAAGGACACAACGTCGGACCGAGCTGAGGCTCAAACCCCCGAACCCGCAATCTCACGATAACCGGTCCGGTAGCCTAACCACCACTCTACCAACGCCACAAATAGAATTTGACTTGCCACCCAGAAATACAAACACGATTAATCACAGGAGGTCGAATTGTGTAGAAAAACTCTGGCCCAAGTAATCACAATCATTATGCAGACCCTGGAAAAAGTCGGGAGAGTGCATTCATTAGGTAAGGGACCACACGCCTTAAAACAGCACGGGTCTTTGCTATGGCAGACTGACGCAGGACTCCCCCCCCCCCCCCCCCCCCCCCCCCCCCCCCCCCCGCCCACACAAGTGTGAAGCAAAAGGGGGGGGGGGGGAGTCCTCAGACACGGGTGTGTATAATCATTGTGTAGAAAAATAGAGAGGGTTCTAGAGAATTCTAGAGGAAAAAAATAAAGTCCAACATTTCAATCTGTTGATACAAAAAGGCATTAAGGCAAACAATGGTGATGGCATTCTCTGCGTGTCCGCCGTCGCCGTCAGCTACGCACGCACGCACGCACGCGCGCGAGCGCGGATTTCAAGCACAGCCTCACAGACGAAACGGCACGGGCAACATCACATATTATCATCATTATCATTATCATCATTATTATTATTACACGACAGATGGCAGGATAGAGAGAAGAACGCATCGTGCGTAACAAATGACGCGTACTTATTCCACGGTCTGTCAATCAAAAGCGAGGACAAAAACAACGACGCGGGATCCTCATACAATCATAGCACTGCTCATTTCTGTAGGTAAAATATCATCTCTTTAGAAAAACCAAACACAGATATATATATATATAAACAGGAGCACATTGCTTTTGAGCGATTTTTTTTCCCCACCAACGTGAAGAAGAAGAATATGGATTGATCCACTTTTGAGCACCCCTCAGCCATCGGGTAAAGCAACCCCTTACAGATATTATGTGAGACATCATGGCGACATCAGGCACTCGGCAAAATAACGAAATCAAAGAGACCCAACATTTTTCAGCCAGTAGGGCAATTTTGATTTTAAAAATTTATTTTTTTTTAACTTAACACTTTTTACGTCCATTTAAAATCCCCATTTCTGGGTGGATTTTTTCTGAAAAACATTGATCAAAGGCACAAGAAATGTAAAAGTATGCAATTTCCAAGGAGACTCAAACTTTGGGTGTCGCCTAAATTCAGCGTCCATTTTCTTCTCGCGTATTTTACCTCTGTCACAGGCAAGACGCAGATATCTCAATTTCTAATCCAGGTAAATCGGTATTTCCCCTCATAAGCAAGACAAAAGAACCAGTTTTAATTAATTAAGAGAATACTAATAACCCTCATATGCCCCAAAAATTGACGAGCGCCTGACTCCACCGTGTGATGACACACAACATCTGTCCACAGTCCAAGGCATTCAGTCAACTATAGCTCTGACCCTAGAAGGAGGCGGTCGGTCACTCTTTCCGCTTGACCACATTGCGGGATCGCAACTGTTGAACGAAGGAGGAATCTTCCAGCCCGTTGTTGTTGATGCTGTTGCTGCTGTTGCTGCTGCTGCCGTTGCCGGTAGGTTGCACAAACTGAGCTTTCTGCTGGTCCCCCTCAAGCCCTGGTATATCATGCTTCACATCCTGAGAGAGAGAAATGCAAAAATACAGTCACCAATTGTCCGAGACAGCCACCTATTGATGGCGAGAAAAGTGAAATACAGTGTAAATTAGTCGATTTTAAGCACAAGGGGGCTATCCGGTAAAATGCTGTTTTGAGAAAATCGAAGGTAAAGTTTTTGTCCTTTGTTCAGTTTCTTTAAAAGACAAGGAGAGTTTTCTCTATAACCAAACAAATATACACACCAATGAAACCAAACTTTTCCTATAGGTAGGACAATCCCCACTTTTGGTGTAGGTCAAAATTTCTGAAAACCCCCGAAATCTGGGTTAGCCCGCTAGTCCTTAACAGCGACCAATTGCATAAAATCGCCCCCTATCATCGAGAAAAACGGTTGTCTAATACAAGTTGACGCCTAAGACAGTATCATTATGATTTTTATTATTTTTATTCAAGGGATAAACAAGACAGTAATCCTTTGTACAGGTCATTTTCTTTGTAAATAAATTGCGTCTCCTAAATAAGCCTAGAGTTGAAAGGGGGAGTTAAATCTATACAAAGACCAACGACCTGGAATTACATCAAGAGTCTAGGACGGGATAAGGAAAGGTGGATGAAAGTCTTTGTTTCTGGCCTACATCCCGCTGCAGGGTGAGAAAGGCAATGATGATGATGATGATGATGATGATGATGATGATGATAATGATGATGATGATGATAATGATGATGAAACGTTGAGCTATTAAACAAATTTAAACATTTTATATTGTTATTTTGTCTAAAGTTAAAACAAGACTCTCCCTCCTACCCTGCTTACCAAACAATAATGATGATGATGATGATGATGATGATGATGATGATGATGATGATGATGATGATGAAGATGATGATTTGTATTTATCGCACCTTTTGGCATTGTGACGTAGACGCGCGCACTTTGGTTACTATAGCTTGTAGTCATTAGATCTTACATCAATTTTGTGTATGTTCCTGATGACGCCCTTCACCGGGCGAAACGTTGAACCCTTATAAAATTTGGAAATTCTACAAGTCTCAACCCTTTTTTATTTCTTGCTGTTTACAATGATGATGATGATGATGATGATGATGGTGGTGGTGGTGGTGGTGACGATGACGATGATGATGACGATGACGATGATGATGATGATGATGATGATGACGACAACAACAACCAACGACCTATCTAAAACCTAAACCAGCTCATCCGTCCGGCCAGCACTGACCTTGAGGATGTAGAACTTGAGGCCCGTCCAGACCACCAGGCCCAGCACGCCGATGCCCCAGGCGATGGTGATGGGCGTGGGCAGCGGCATGGTCACCGTCTGCCAGTCAAACTTGAGCACAATCAGGAACTCCGTGATGATGATGGCCGCGATGAGCCAGGACTGCCGCCCAAACTTTTTACAGTTCCTAGAAGGGAGGAAGGAAGGAAGGAAGGCAGGGAAAATAGAGAGGTTTTTTTTAGTCTTAGTAAGAGTTTTACTACACTTGCAACACAATAAGGTCATATAAGTGCCGAAGATTAGAGGTGTTACAAGAGAGTAACAAACACAAAAGGAAGGAGGAGAAATCAGGATGATAGATGTTTTAGTTTTAGTAAGAGTTTTACGGTGCTCTCAACTGCATAAGGTCATATGAGCCCCAGAAGATTAGAGGTGATTCAAGAGAGTAACAAACATAAAAAAGGAGGGGAGATAAAAACGATAGATGCTTGATAGAATAGAAGGAGCAAACCACATCAGAGCACCTGTCAACCACCCACAAATATAGAGTTTTGAGTCGGAATAAAGAGAGAAACACATCGACACAATAACGGTCATATCGTACAGACAAAGAAGCAAGACAGAACGACATAAACAACAGAAAGAATGTTTCGTGGTTTTAACAATTGTACCCAAATTCTGTATCATTTATTGATTATTTTTTCAACATATACAATTTGAATTTGGGGAAAATATTTTTGGAGTTCATGCAACTGACACCACAGATTTAATCAAGAAAAAAAAAGCTACAAAAATTGTTTTTCAAAACTTTGAGCTTGCTTCATCTCAACAGCTGTCCGACAATATCTTCCAAACAAAGAGATAACGGTCACATCTCTTCAGTGTGAGAGGCAAGGAGCCTCACAACTACAGCGTGGTTCTCCAAAACTCGACATACAGTAAGTCAAGTTCAACAAGCGTCTCATTTCACCACGATGCCTCACACGTTTATAATAGAAACATGGCCCATTTATGTATTGTTATGTGCAGGCACTGAATAAAGAAAGGAATGAATAAAGAAAGGAATGAATAAAGAAAGGAAAGAATAAAGAAAGGAATGAATAAAGAAAGGAAAGAATAAAGAAAGGAAAGAATAAAGAAAGGAGTGAATAAAGAAAGGAATGAATAAAGAAAGGAATGAATAAAGAAAGGAAAGAATAAAGAAAGGAATGAATAAAGAAAGGAATGAATAAAGAAAGGAATGAATAAAGAAAGGAATGAATAAAGAAAGGAAAGAATAAAGAAAGGAATGAATAAAGAAAGGAATGAATAAAAAAAGGAATGAATAAAGAAAGGAATGAATAAAGAAAGGAAAGAATAAAGAAAGGAAAGAATAAAGAAAGGAAAGAATAAAGAAAGGAATGAATAAAGAAAGGAATGAATAAAGAAAGGGAATGAATAAAGAAAGGAATGAATAAAGAAAGGAATGAATAAAGAAAGGAATGCAAAAAGTTGGAATACTATTTTAATCCTATCCGTACGTTTGTGTTTTACTATCGTATATTCATACGACGTGCAGAACTCTGTGCCACCACTTTCCAAAGAGGAAATTTACTCGTTTATCCGATCCGTACGCTTTGCATGGCAGTCTGTCAAAATTATTTTTTGAGAGATACCGAAAGTTTCACAGAGATCTTCGTACTAGAAGTAGTCTAAAACTGTGAAGAATACAACCCCGGGGGGTACAAAATGACCCCCCCCCAGGGTGTATGGATAGGTTAAGAGAAAAGGCGACTTACGGATCGTCCAGATACTGGAAAACTTCTCTCATGGCGGCAGCTCCCATGAAGAGGAAGAACACGAGCCGACTGAGATTGAGATAGTGCTCCGGAGGGATCCAAAACACAAACTTGAGGTAAAATGTGTTCAGCTCCGCTAACAAAAACTGCAAAATAGGACCATGGAGACAGGCGTGAAAGCAGACACTAAGAGATTATATATCAATGGAGGAGATTATATATTAATGGAGGAGGACGAGGAGGGGGAGGGGGAGGG